TCCCTAGACACTGCCCAATGCTGCCTGGGGGGTAACCTCCCCCATGCACACACACACCTCCTCTGTTAAGAAACACTGCTTTTAGATCAATTCGCTTAAAAAAAAAAAAAAAAAAAAAAAAAGCTTACATGGGTTTAAATAGTAAGGTTGTACTAAAACAGCCCCAGTTTAGGAAAACCTCTAAAAGAGAAGCCGTCCTTCTTGCCCATGCCTGCTCCAGCTCCCAAGTCATGATCTAACACCCCGAGGGGAGGCATATGCTCTGGACCCCTCGCAGCCAAATACCATCATCCCAATGGCTCCATTCACTGTAGGGTTCTGATATGTGCTGACTGATGAGAAGAGTCTTAACCATTTCTGGAAGTCACAAACAAGGTGTTTAGAAGCAATTTTCATTCCAGGCCCCTTCCCTGGTGTCAGGCCCTGCTTATCAGACCTTGAGATCTCAGTGGACACCTGCTCCTCATGGCTAGAACAACTGCCTAGAGGCCAGAGAACAGAGGCTCACAGAGCATCAATGGGAAACAAGGGTGGGCCCATTCAGGAATGTTGCTAGGTCCCAGAAGGGCCTTACAAGAAAGATCTAGTCCTTTCTTCCCCGTTATCAAAGGAGAAACTCAGGCCTGGGAAGAAAGGCTCTATGATGTGGCCCAGGACAGAGTCAGCCTGTAACAGAACACGGCCTAGAACTCAAGGCTTCCTTCAGTATTCATGTTCTCCAACCCCACACTGTGCATGGCAATCCCCAGACTAAAGACTGTCACCGCCCTAATACTCAAAATAGGCAAAGGCTTATACACGTGCTGCTTTTGATGTTTAAAAGTCAGCAGCAGCAAAGCTATGGAAATGAAATAATTAAAACCCTCACTGGTAGCCACCCATTGGGCAGAGGGAGAGCCTGCTCCATCACCTCCTAAAGCCCCCAGCGCCCAACGGGTGATGCCTATGAACAGCCACTATTAGAGGCTCCTTGGCGAGCGTATAGCTGGGTTTTCCACGGGATGTCTTCCTTCCATTTGCCTCTCCTATCTGGCTTTTTTTTTTTTTTTTTGTCTTGCTCTGTCGCCCAGGCTGGAGTACAGTGGCACTATCTCAGCTCACTACAATCTCCGCCTACCCGGTTCAAGCGATTCTCCTGCCTCAGCCTCCTGAGTAGCTGGAATTACAGGTGCGCTCCACCACGCCTGGCTAATTTTTGTATTTTTAGTGGAGGCAGGGTTTCACCATGTTGGTCAGGCTGGTCTCGAACTCGCCTACCGTGGCCTCCCAAAGTGCTGGGATTACAGGTATGAGCCACCGCACCTGGCCCTATCTGGCATTTTCATTCCTCACCTCCTTCTCCCAAGATCACAAGGAAGTTAAATTGCCCAGCTTCCTGGTTCATGCAAAGTTAATTAAATAGATGCCAGAGAAAATAAAGTCTAGTTTTGAAGATTTGGTATCAGCACTGCTCAGAGTACTTCTCTCTCAGGGACCAGCATCAGGCATCTAAATGAACTCACAATCACAAAAGGGGATTCTGGGACCTTCAGCAAAACGTGCTCACTGTCCTCCAGCCCTGTCCCCTGGGGTGCCCCTCTAGAGTGGGAGGAGAGGCCCTTTGTGCAGTCTGCTCTGTGCACTTCCAAAGACACCCTAGGAATCAGCTTTTATTGTTCCCAGGGTTCAGATGAGAAACCTGGAGGTCACACATCCCGTAAATGACAAGACGGTAAATTGAGACTTTAACCACATTTGCCCGTTCCAAAGCCCATAGGGCTGCCACTTGACATGCTGCTTCCCTGTAAGCACAGCTAATGTTGCCTGGATATCCTTAATTTGTAGTTTGGAAAGCCAAACCCAGGTAGGCTAGAAACAGATATTAACAAGGCAATTTATCATTGCTGTCCTATCAATGGGCTGGCCTATCAATCAATCAATCAATCAATCAACCCTCACTGAATCTGCCGCATAAAATCCCAGAGTTAAGCATGCAGGGACTAGCCAGGCATGGGAGCCATGGTCTAACCGAGAGCACTGCATTCTCACACAAGCTTAGAGAGATGGCACAGTGCAATGTGTGATTGATTGCCAATGAATGGTACACTTACTGAAAGCTACAAAGTCCAGAGAAATATCCCTGAGGGTTGAAGCTGCTTTGTGAAAGAGCTGAGACTTGGAGCTGGGCCTCGAATAGTGAGAAAGACACCGGTCTGCACAGAGGATCCAAGACCACCAGGAGAGAACACGGAATTCTGGGCCCTTGTTCATGTCCTCTGCAGCCCAGACAGAAATGCTGGTCAGGTCTATGCCATCCAGCATGTCCGGGAGGCTCTCAACTGTCTATTCAGCATGACACATCCCCTCTAAACACACATATGCACAAAACAACACCAGCACTCATTTCTGCTCAGCTTTAGGACATCAATGGTTGTCTTTTTAATGAACAAATTTTTACTTTGCTCAGAAGAGCTTGACAGGAGGTGGCATTTCTTTACTTGAAAAGAATCCTCAACGTCCCTATTACGGGTCAGCGCTTGCTGGGCCCTGGGAATAGAGGGAGGAATAAAGGGAAGATCTTGCTCTTAGGAAGCTTCTGGGCTAGACTGGAGGACCTTGAAGGAAGATGAAAAATAAACAAAAATCCGAAAAATCTTTACTACAGATAAGTTACACCACCACAGTTCAGAACAGCACCACTCCCCTCCCCGCCCCTGACACTTCCCACGCCTTTCTGGTGTTCCCAGTGCTTGTGTAAAGGTGGCCCCTGGTCGCATACCCCTGGTTCATTCATTCTCCACGTTTGATGACATAGGCAAACCCCGGAGAATGAATGAACCAGAGGTATGACAGGCCCTAAACAAAGCCAAGATGAGCCACGTTTGTCGCTGAGAGAATCAACAGACCCAGTGGGAAGAGTGCTGTACAGTGGGATGGGACGAGGCAGGTTTTATAATCTGATTAACATCGCCTGTTGGCAGTTTTCCACTCCCCTGCTCACCCTAAATCTACAAAGAAGCTCCACTCCTGGAATCCCACATAGGTAAACCCCATGACCCGGGAAGGATGTTTGTCGAAGAGCTGTCTCTCATGGCGCCAAGGAGTTTAGGACAACGTAGGTGTCCAACACCTGGGGGAATGGACCTGTAAACACAGACATGTGCGCTCTGCTCCTGCCTGGATCAGAAGCCGGCAAACTTTCTCTGTCCAGGGCCAGACGCTATTTAGGCTTTAGGGGTCAGGAGGCCCCAGTCACAATTGCTCAGCTCTGCCGCAACAGTGAGAAAGCAGCCATGGACGACAGGGAAATGATGGATGTGGCTGGACTTTTGCAAGTGGTCAGCCAGATGTGACTCAAGGGCTGCACTCTGCTGACCACTGGTCTAGAACATTCTTCCACCAAGTATCTGTCCACTGTCTGTTCAAATGTTATCTCCTGAGAAAACCTTTCTTGGCCACACTCTTTTTTTTTTTTTTTTTTTAAGGCAGGGTCTCACTCTGTTGCCCAGGCTGGAGTACAGTGGTGCGTTCATGGTGCAGCCTCAGCCTCCCCGGGCTCAGATGATCCTCCCACCTCAGCCTCCCCAGTAGCTGAGAGTACAGGCATACGCCACCATGCCTAGCTAATTTTGTATTTTTTGCAAAGAAAGGGTTTCACCATGTTTGCCAAGTTAGTCTCAAACTCTCGAGCTCAAGCAGTCTACCCTCCTTGCCTCCCAAAGTGCTGGGATTACAGGTGTGAGCCACCGTGCCCAGCCTGCCCACACTCTCAACAGCACCCTCCATCACTCTTTACCCCTCACCCTCTCTTTTATTCCACAGCATTTATCACTTCCAGATCAATTTGTCTATCAGCTTAGAGTTTGTCTCTACTCTAGCAAGGGAGGGCAAAGATTTTCTTCTGTCTTGTTCAACACTAGTGCCCAGCACTTAGTACATGCTCAGTGAATATCTGTTGGGTGAATGGACAAGCAGCTGCCATGTTCATCTGTACATGTCACCCAACAATGTATGTGTCTCATCTTTCAGGGCTAGAGACGTCCTGGAAAGGTCAGCTAGGTTGCCAGACCACCTCCCTGCCCCAAGGGAGGCTGTGGGCAAAATCACCCCACACATCTCAATCTTCCTTCCTCCCTCTCTCTTTCTTCCTTTCTTTTGCTTTCTTTCTTTCTCCTTCCTTTCTCTCTCTCCCTCCCCCTTTTTCTTCCTTTCTCTTCCTTTCTCCCCCTGCCTCTCTCTCTCTCCCACCCCAGCAAAACAGGGCGGTGAGATGCTTATTAGTACCTAGTCCCAGGTCATGACTCTGTGCTACCATTGAGACAATTCCAGGAGCCAACAGCATTTTCTTTTAGAATTTGCCAATCCCTTCAGAACATTCCACAGAGGACTTTAAAAGAGTATTGAGAGAGAGAGAGAGAGAGAGAGAGAGAGAGAGAACAAAGTGACTCCTGACAGCCCACCCTGCATCCACCAGAAGCCAGTCCCACTTCTCTCCAGGAGACTGATAAAAGAATTGTTTCTTTTTAGCAGAGAATAATATTCACCTCTCTTCTTCTAGCTATTGTGGGTTTTTCTTCCCTAAATTCCAAAACTAATCTTTCAGTGCTGACATAGTAAAATCTGCCTTCCTAAAAAACCTCAGGGCTTTTCAAGCAGCCAAAAACCTCAACCACTGCACAGCCCACAAGATTTTGCAGAACAGATTATAATCCCCAGCCTCCCTCTCTTCCTTGTGAATCACAAACCAGCTAAATCCAGTGACAGGTTATGGAGCTACTGCTCTGAACCCTCCATGGGTAGAAGGGGACCAGACAGGATGGCTGGCTGCAGAAAGAAAATCATCACACCTAATCCGTGACGGAACTAAACTGCAGCTTTTCTCTAAAGCACAAGCTGATGGAACTTTGATGTATGCTGTTCCCCTACCCCTAGGCCACTCATTTTTTAAAACCTCCTTGCTCTTGTGGACATGATCTATAGCAGGGGTCCCTAACCCCCAGGCCACGGTCCCAGCACTGCTTCTTGGCCTGTTGAGAACCAGGCTGCACAGCAGGAGGTGAGTGATGGGTGAGTGAGCAAAGTTTCATCTGTATTTCCAGCCGCTCCCCATTGCTCACATTACTACCTGAGCTCTGCCTCCTGTCAGATCAGTGACAACATCAGGTTCTCATAGGAGCGCAAACCCCATTGTGAACTGCACATGAAAGGGATACAGGTTGTATGCTCCCTATGAGTCTCTAATGTCTGATCCTTATGAGAATCTAATGCCTGATGATCTGTCACTGTCTCCCATCAGCCCCAGATGGGATGGTCTAGTTGCAGGAAAACAAGCTCAAGGCTCCCATTGATTCTACGTTAGGGTGAAATGTATAATTATTTCATAGTACAATGTAACAATAATAGAAATAAAATGCACAGTAAGTGTAATGTGCTTGAGTCATCTGGAAACTATCCCCACCCCACCCCACCACATCCATTTAAAAGTTATCTTCCAGAAAGCCGGCCCCTGGTGCCAAAAAGGTTGGGGATTGCCACTTCATAGAGCCCCAGGTGGCCTCAAAGTCCCTCACCTCTCAGTGTCCCTGGAAGACTTTTCGGCTATACTTTCTGTCCAACCGGTTCTGCCCTTTATTTTTGTTTCAGGGAGGATTATTGCCATGGCAATGTCCAGGTGACAGAGGCAGGAGGGGGAAGAAACCCACCTGTATTCAACCCTTAATCCCTTAAAGCCTGTCAGAAAGCAGCAGCCTTGGAAAATAAGAAGCCTGGCCAGTGTTTCCTATCGATCACAAGACAGAATCAACCAGAAAACAGCTCTCCACGAAGAAACCTCGGTCAGTAAAGTCTCCCTCGAGGCTCTGCCAATCTCCCTGCACAGGAGATCTGCCTGACACATTTGCGTTTTCAGAAAGAGCAGAGCAGAAAGGAAACAGAAAGGGAAGTCTGCGGTGGGGAATAAGGAAAATGATTTTCCTTTTTCAGGAAGCTCCCCAGGACCAAAGGATCAGCTGGGCACATGCGCCTCCTATCTGGGCAGGGCTGGCTATTTCTGTTTGCTGTGCCCACAATGTGGCCACCCTATCGGCACCTCTGCCCAACGCTGGGTAGAGCAAACAACAATATTCAGTTCCTGGATATTAGCTTAGCGCCCAGTCCACAAATCTCCTCTGCTTCTAAGGAAATGGGAGGCCCTTAAACCTACGAGCATACACACACACACACACACACACATACACACACACACATACATATACACACATACACACATACACACACACATACACACGCACATACACACATGCACATACACACATACACACACACATACACACATATATACACACACACATACACATACACACATACACATATACACACACATACACAAATACACACACACACAAACACACACACATACACACACACATACATATACACACATATACACACACACATACATATACACACATACACACACATACACACATACACATACACACATACACACATGCACATACACACATACACATACACACACATACATATACACACATACACACACATACATATACACACATACACACATACACACACATACACACATATACACATACACATACATACACACATACATATACACACATACACACACATACACAAATACACACACACATACACAAACACACACACATACACATACACACACACACACACACACAACAGGAGGAAATGAGGAATTCACTGGCAATTTTTGCCATTTATTCTAGGAGGAACATCCCAGATACCCATGGGGACTATCAACAAGTATCCACCCCAAAAAGTAGAGTCAATAAAACAATAAGCTTACAAATATGAACTTGTAACTGTGGTTTATTATTCTTAGAGAAGTCTGTTTTATTTCATTTTTTAAAATTTTTTGGAGACAGGGTTTTCCTGTTTCCCAGGCTGGAGAGCAATGGTGCGATCACAGCTCACAGCAGCCTCGACCTTTGTGGCTCAAGCGATCCTCCTGTTTCAGCCTCCCAAGTAGCTGGGACCACAGGTATGTGCCACCACATCTAGCTAATTTTCAAATTTGTTGTAGAGATGAGGTCTCACTACATCGCCCAGGCTGGTCTTGAACTCCTGGGCTCAAGTGATCCTCCCACCTCGGCCTCCTGTAGTGCTGGGATTATAGGTGTGAGCCACCACGCTCAACCTGTTTTAAGTAAGTGTTATATACTAGGTGTTTGCTAGAAAACAGCTATCTAGCAAACATCATGGATCGATGAGCTTCCCCAATTAAACCATGTCACCAGTTCATACGCTATCCACTGACCCTCATTTAAACCTGTTCTCAGCTCCCTGTGTTTTCATTTCATTGTTAAGGAGAATACTCTAGATTCTTCCTCTTCTTGGCTCAGTGATCTGCAGAGATACAGTATTTTAAAGGTTTTCATGTCCTTGCTTGGCTTGTCAAGGAAGTAAGGGACAGGCCAAGGGCTTCCCAGATAAGAAAAAATAATGGTTTTAGAAAGCCACGGCTGGTAAGAGCAAAGGGAAAGGCTACTTCACTCGTATCTGGTGATTTGGTTTGCCGTGTGCCTATCAGGCTTATAAAACAAAATGCAGCCATGAGAGGCTGTGAGTGAGCTCTCTTCCTTCCCCTATGAACTAGCCATGTAGTGAGAAGTCCTGATGCACCCATTTAGCTGGGAAAGGTTGCCAGAGCTTTAAGGCTGACGCCTGGGAGAAAGTTAGCAGGCGGCAGAGGGCTGGCCTGGCCTTTCTGAATTCAATCAGAGGTGGCCAGCCCCCTCTAACCACATGATCCGAATGCACATGCCAGATGAGGAGACGTTGTAGTGGAACAGGGAATGTTTCATGCAAATCGTGGGTTTGGAGCAGGATTTGGTGGAGGGCACATCCTTGAGAAAAATGTCGGGATGGCTACGGACTGGCGAGCCATTCTTCACAGAGCTGCCGCCTCCCCCACGAACATGCAGATGAGAGTTCTTCCCACCCTGGATGCAGAGATCAGCAGCTAATAATGAGGTCTCAGCATGAAGGAGACACATTCTTTCACACATGTGCACACACACATATGCACACCTGCACACACATGCACATATACATACGAGCATGCACAAGAAGTCTCAGAGCCCCATCTCCCTTCGGCTGGGATTTTTCATCCTGAGAATCTTGGGTGTTACCCCTGGGAACAAGCTCCTCCGAAGCCACACATGGTTGAAACTCCTCTCCCAGTGACAACGACGTCACATCTCCCAGGCACTGGCTCCCTTGGGAATGCGTGCGTGGCTCCCCCTGGGGCAAAGAGCAGCTGCTCGGGGTGACTCATAACCTGTGCTCTCAGCCCTGCCGTCCACCGTGCTTCCCGTCCATTACTCAGCCTTCTCCCTGAGCTTGTTCCTACGGCCGCCCCGCAGCCCAGCTCGCTGCTGCTCCCAGCTTGCTGGGCACTTTGCAGGGATCGGCATTTGCTTAGGGCAGCCTCTTCTCTTGCCTTCTCTCCTCCATTAGATCCAAGGCAACACAATTTGCTTTCTGAGGAACTGGGAGTGAGAGCAGAGATCACGGTGACAGGGCATAGAGAGATAAAGGCAAGAAAAGAATGTTCCCTCTGTTGAAAAACAGCCAGTTCAACTCCAGGGGCACCTCTTTGAAATCATCAGTGAGACCTCACTCTGCTTACTCTCCTTGAAGACAGCCCCCAGGCACTGCTTCTTCTAGGATCTGGGGTTTTGGACACTGAAGGGCCCTGGCTGCCTGAAATCCTTTCTAGAACAAAGTGGAATGAGGCAGAGTATAAACAGACACATACACACGACAGGTGAAATAAAACTTGAGCTTCCTGAGCAATGCTCTGTTTCTTCAAGTGGCCTCCACTAGTGGAAAGGCAGAGGGGTGAGGAGGGCGGATGTGTGCCATGCCTCCTCCTTCCACTCCCTACTCTGCACCCTGACCCATTCAACAGCCTAGGGGGTTCCCTGTTTAAGGGAATCTTAGAACACACACCCTCTGCAAATACCTGCAGCCTGTTGAACTGAAACTTAGAGTTACTTCTGAAAAAAAATGACATCATCCTCACCACAGGATTCACAAAAAATCAGCCCGTTTCCTTTTTACTTACCTTATTTTAAAATACAGTATTTTAAAAAGCAAGTATCTTTGTTTTAAAATCTTAAAACAAAGATACTTGCTTTTCCTTCTTTTCCAACTGTTACTGGGCTGTATTCCAACCAGCATTAAGTCCAGTACTTTCTGTTCTAGGTACCTACTCCCGCCCTCCCTGTTTAATAATGGGTTCTCTAGAATAGGGACTGGCAAGCTTTTTTCTGTAAAGGGCCAGAGAATAAAGATTTTCAAGTTTGTGAACCATGACGTCTCCATTGGAGCTACTCAACTCTGCCACCGCGGCATGAACCACCCAAAGACAATACGCCAATGAATAGGCATGGCTGATTCCCAATAAAACTTTATTTACGGACCCGGAAATCTACATTTCATGTAAGGTTCATGTGTCCCAATATATTTCTTTTTTTGATTTTAACTTTTAATGTGAAAATGATTCTTAGCTCATGAGAATTGTGAAAATAGGTGGCAGGTTGGTTTTGGCCCATAGGCTGTAGTTAGCCAAGCCCTGGTCTTGAATCAAATATTTAAACAGAAACCCTGAGAGAGCACTTTCTTTTGAAAAGAAATATGATAATCATAATAACTCCCTTGCATTGAGCACTTGTTCCATGAAAGAACTTGACATGGAAAAATAGCTTTTCATTCTCATATTAACATATGAGATAGGTAAATATTTTCTCTTTTTTTTTCTGTAAAGGTAGATACTGAAACTGACAAGAAGACAATTAGCTCACCAAGTTCATTGTAGCAAGGATTGAAACCTGAAGTGCAATTCCAAACAGAGACACAGGATGCTCAGGCTCTGCATCCTTTAAAAAGATTCCCGGCTGGGCCCGGTGGCTCACGCCCGTAATCCCAGCACTTTGAGAGGTGGCTGGATCACGAGGTCAAGAGATCGAGACCATCCTGGCCAACATGGTGAAACCCTGTCTCTACTAAAAAATGCAAAAATTAGCTGGGTGCAGTGGCACGCGCCTGTAGTCCCAGCTACTCAGGAGGCTGAGGCAGGAGAATT